TTTCTAAAGTGCATAAACTTTTGGGATTGACTGTATAGCTAATACATCCTTAAGAGATCTCTTTTATCGAAACACGTGAACGTGTATCAGTGGTTCTAGCCGCTGCTGTACAAGTGTGTATAACACATGGTACTACGAATGTATTCCAAGCGATTGGTAACCGCCAACCATAAAATAGCAGCGCGAAACGCGATCGTTTCCTCAGCGATGCTAATAATCACCACAGCTAAAGCGAGTAAAACCGAGAGATATGTATAAAGGGAAAATTCTCGCGAGCGCCGAGGCGTTCCCAATTAACAACGTGCAGTTGTTGCGGAATAATTAACACTTACCGGGACCGACACCAGCGCGAACGACTCGCTCGCGTACAGGAGAAACATCAAAGCGCTCTTACCTGCAACAATTCAAAAGAAAACAGGATTTTGATTAATTAGTGCCGAGCGGTTTGCCATGCGGCTGGCCAGCGAGCTACGGAATTAATTTAGCCGGCGATATCGCGAGATAAGCGGGTACACGCGCCATTATTAAAGAGTGCGTTGCCATTATAAATATTAATCGACGCGCTCGCTGCTTGCGTACGGCGAAATTTCGCTCGGCCATTATCGCGTGTTACGTCACGTGTTACCATTGTTAATTAGCCGATTCGAGATACTAAATTCTTCGCGGCGCATTCCGTTAATTGTTCGCGAAAACGTTTCCGCGATTTCGCTTAATTGAAAAGTGTAAACATCGTTTGCGGCTCTAATTGCGAGTTAGCTCCTCTGGAAAGAACGTAGCCGCGTTTAACAGCGGTTCCAAAAACGATTATAGAACTCATCGCGGCGCCTGATAAACTTATGTGGAGCCCGTTAACGCTATTTTCGGTTACGCTCGTTAAAAAGATTTAAAGGGCGGACCGAGGAGCGTTACGTTTTCGGCGGTAATCGCGACGCGTATCGCGAGAAATTAACAGCCCGCTAAAGAGAGCACCTACTACGGAAATTCGTGACGCGTGCGATTCGCAACGAGATCGCGAGAAAACCAGAGGGAAATAGAAAGAGACGCATCGGCCGTAAAACGGAGTAGAAACTGCTGTCCGTGTAATTGGACTCGCCGGAGAGAGCTCTCCCTTTAAGAAGCTGACAGAATGCAAACCAGATTGCACCTTTTTTATCAGATGTTAATCTTTGCGACTCTAATCGACGGTGTATGCTAATCCTAAATGTTTTGAACATATACTCTCGCCTCGAACAGACGAACGTCCGGATCGTTGATGTTTTTAAAAGCGTCTTCGGCTACCGTGGGCTTTTATTTCTTTATTCGAACGAACAAAGAGCGAATGACTCGACGAGTAACTCGATAAATAAACTCGTCGAGCACGACGGAACGGCAGCGGGAGCGGTGAGATTATCACGGCGCAAATGGCGTCCGTAGCCGCCCGGTGGTCGTCAAAACGGCAGCTGACTCTTACCACGTTCGACGATTGTACAGGGACAGAGAAAGAGAAAAGGGGGATAGAAAGAGCAAGGGCAACGAGCTTAACCGTGGCACGGATCGTGGTCGAAGGCAAGGCAGACACGCACCGGAGCGGACCCCTCCGGCAATCAGTGACCTCTTCCTCCTACTTCTTCGGAGGCCGCTCGTATCTCACGATCGTAGTTAGATAGAGGGTTCGGTAGTGGTCTGCAAATGGTCGACGGCTCGTGTGAGCGTGTGCCATCGGCCAACTACGTGACCCAGTTCGCTGATGAACCGCGTGACGTACGCGCATGGCTTTGCGTTCCTGTCAATCCGCGTCGACGATCGAAATTCATGCTTAAAAAATTAAACGATTTTTCCAATGCGATTTCACTCGTACAGTATTGAAAACGACTGGCACGCTGAAACGACTAATCGAACAGCTTTTAATTGAGAATTCTATCTAGAAACGCGAGACTTCCCTTGCGCCAAGAATGGAATCACACGACTGGCGTCTTCGGAGCCGGACACGGTCGGCCGGCTAGCCGAAAGGCGGCCAAAGGTCCACCGTGAAAAGGAATATCGCGAGAGACAGAACCTGATCGTGGACGTCTCGCGAGTCATGGTTAGAGCAAGCAAGTTAAGCGAGGGGCGAAGGGAGTTCAACCCCGGGAACTCTCTGCGGGAGTAGCCGGAGAGAAGTTTCGGTCGGAGAGCGTGACGGGGGTGGAACGAAGGGTGGCATGCCACGAACGGAACGACGCCGAAGGAAGAGGCGGAGAACGCGTGGGAGAAGGAGAGACGCGCTCGAGACCGAGAGAGACGGAAGGGTGGCTAAGGGGCGCGAGGGGATGAGCCAGAGTTGGAGCGATGGCAGAGTATTGATTTAGTGGGTTTCACCGTCTCCTTCTATTTGTCTCTCTCCGTTCTATACATCTCCGCTTCGTCTCTCCCGGCGTCTCTGCGAGGGCGCATCGGCGGATCTCTCGTTGTTTCAGGGCTTCGATTTCTTGCCTTTCGGGCTACCAACGACATCCACTTTTTTTCTTCCATTCCTCGTTGCACTCCAGAGAGAAACGGTCGCTTTTCGAATGGAAATTGCTCCGATTGAGACGTGGCAGTAGATGTTTTTATCACAGTTTTTCAAGTTACAAATGCTTTTACCACTCGGTTTCTTCGGATCCTCTCAATGGAGGACACCAAAGGAATTATTCTGCCTTACAGTCCAAAATGAAATTATGC